TATGTGATGTACACAAAGACATTAATCAAGTTTACTTCTCATGTTCACTTAACTCACAATTAACCAGTAGCTACTCCTAGATTTATGAGATAAAAATGGTCATCTGAAAAAACGACTTATAAAAACTCAAACATTTCTTTGAGGATGTGATTCATTGTCCAGCTGCTGCTCCATATGGCGTTCTGGGTAAAAGCCAATTATAATAACCAAGGGCAACAGTGGTGTCTGCATGGCTCTATTCTGTTTTTAATCCGGTTTCAGTTGGTATGGAGATTGGGAAAGATAAGTACATAAGTTTTCCATGCTAAGAACTAGTTTAGCGTTAGAACTATTAACGAAGCACTTTTATACTAATAAAGGACTGGCTTACCTAAAGCCAGTTGAGTAGCACTTGAAATGTTTGGCTCTATGAAACCTGATGTACTTATATGATTCTGTTTTCTTCAAGGTTGTGTCTTCCTGGTCGAATGTACTTATTGTAAGTCGCTTTGGATAAAAGCGTCAGCTCAATGCAATGTAATGTTTAAGGAACTGAAATCGGATTCAGTCCTGCTCCCCACCACAGCCTGGCTCCCAAAAGCTTCTCTTCCCAAAACTGTCAATTAACCTAAACAAGCCAAATGTAACCTAGGAAAAGTTTAAGCCACATAATGGATCAAGACAAACTGAATGTAGATCTGATTTCACATGTTGGTGCACACAGTTTTTGTCTGTCTGAAAACATATCAGCCTACATCAGTCTCATATTTGACCTGCCTTCATCTGTCAAGTGAAAAGATGTATTCCCGATCATAGTAAGCTTATAAAATCCTAGCTCGGCATGAGGAGAAATTCATCAGCTGGTTCAGAAGTAGTTTAGTGGACTTCACTGACAGGCAGACTGGAACCGCTGCCTGGCCTCATGCTGCTTCCTGTTTCTCCACCATAGTAAGCGCTCCAGTGACGTCACTTTGAATAGTTTGTGAAGTTAACAGCCTGCCATGCTGTTGCCCCTAGATTCCTCTGTGTACAATTACACCAGTGTTAATTTCATCAACGAAAACTATGACGAAAAATATTCGTCAACGACCTTTTTTACATGACTAAGAGGAGACGATGACGAGCTAAAAATAGATTTTTGATAATAAAAACTACTATATTTTGTTTCCGTTGACGAGACGAGATGGGACTAAGGTGTTAATGGTGGACTATCGGACATTCAAAATGCAGGATATTTTCCCCCAATTGTCCGTCTTGTTTGTCAAAAATGCATCCCTGTCATTGGTTGAATTAGTTGGGATTCTGAATCTGCACATGTCACTCATATTACACAAGTAAAGGGTTAAGAGAGTGAAATGTTGCTTTACGAATTTTCAAAATTAACACTGAATTACACAGCTTAAATCATGTCGCCCTAGGTAATATGTATGCCAACATATAGTATAAGCAGGTTTACTGACAGGATACACACTCCTGAGAAAAGACAAACAGTGTAAGGGGTGCTATAGAAGATATATACACAGATAAAAACAAATCCACTCACTTCAGATACCACCGCATCTTTATTACCCAGATGGGTCCAATAGACTTTTATGACACGACAAGAGATGAATTCCATTAATGAACATCAAGTGACTTTGGGATTGTGTGTGTGTGTGTGTGTGTGTGTGTGTGTGTGTGTGTGTGTGTGTGTGTGTGTGTGTGTGTGTGTGTGTGTGTGTGTGTGTGTGTGTGTGTGTGTGTGTGTGTGTGTGTGTGTGTGGTGTGTGTGTGTGTGTGTGTGTGTGTGTGTGTGTGTGTGTGTGTGGTGTGTGTGTGTGTGTGTGTGTGTGTGTGTGTGTGTGTGTGTGTGTGTGTGTGTGTGTGTGTGTGTGTGTGTGTGTGTGTGTGTGTGTGTGTGTGTGTGTGTGTGTGTGTGTGTGTGTGTGTGTGTGCGTGCGCGCGCGTGCGTCCACCCTCCCTCCCTCCCTCCCTCCCTCCCCTGTGACTAATGTATCATATGCAGCAGCAGGGTCGTCTATAAATAACAACATGATGTTCATTTACTGAGCGGGAGGGGTGACTTGTGTCTGGGCAGATTGATGAACGGGTGGAGTGCATGTGTGTGTTGTTCCCCATTCTCTCACTCGCATGCTGTAGCGTTCGGTCAGTTAGGTTGTATGTGAGACAACAGAGTAGACTTTAATATTGAGCCCACACACACACACACACACAGAGTGCCTGAGGCAACCGCAACGATCTTTCTGGAAGTACACAAACCTTTCTCGCCAATTTGTGCATTGTGATGGCCAATATGTGCGAACCACATGCAGTATGGGTAAGGGTGAAACTTCACGAAAAGCTGGGAAACAATAACAACAACAACAACAACAGCAGAGTGAGTGGGCATGCTCTTGACAGCCCAATGTCAGATTACAGCAGAGAAATGCAGGATTGAGTAACTATCCACAGTAGTTCATTATTAGTGCGTATTCCTTTACAACAGTTAAGAGTCTGTAAGTACTGGACAGTGAATTCTGAGAACACTGAACATACTTTTTATTTTAGCTTTCATTGATATATCATTATTGTGCCTCTACTTTTCCAGTACATGTCTTGGGTTCAGGTGCCCTGCCTTGTGTAAATGCCTAATTTCCATAGCGTGGTTCGACCCTTTTCTCTATTTCTTTTTCCACTGCAGATAGTATCCCTTCAGTGTAGGCGGGATTATCTAAACCGCATCAAACTGCCCTGACATCATCTTCTCTGCTTCTCTTCCCTGGATGCTTTCATTGGCAGTCAAACAGAGGAACATCTCCACTTTGTCAATTGTAGGCCATGTTGAGGTTCTGGGTGCTCTCATCTTTAAAACAAATCTAGGTCTAGTCAAAAGACAGTTCCATCTTATTACAAAACGTGTTCATATTGAGAGGAGCTTGGCCTTTTTAAAATGGCAGGTTTGTGCAGGATGTTCAATGTCGTGCCAATGACTTCTGACCATTATTAGTGACAACTCCGCTCATTTTAGAAAACTCAACTGAGGTGTTACCAACAAAAGTACCAAGTTACTATGAACAACTTTTGCTGATGGAAAACCGAAAAAAACAAACGAGCCATGTTAAGGAAATGTGTGTTAACCACACAATTCATCTCAAACACAATACACACAAAAAGTAATAAATACAAAATATATAAAAATACAGAAACTTAAAATAATCAATATTGTTGTGAGTACATAGTGTGTAGATGTAGGATGATGGGGAACATGCAATCATACGGTTCAAATATAAATGTATGTTAAATCACATGAACAAAATGTGATATTGACTAGCATGTTATTTCTGTCAGCTCTGCAGCGTCAGTATTCAGCTGCTTCTGATTCATCAATAAGGAGTTTCTGTCCCATTAGTGTCCGTCCCTTTCTTATCTGATTGCTGGTTATTACTTGACATTTTGAATGTCATTGTCCTGCAATGCTTCAACTAGAATAAAAGCAAAAGCAGTTTTCCCACCCTGACTGCAGGCACAGTACTTTGAACAATACTCCTCTGTGCTGCGGCAGAGAGGAGAGAGACACTTTAATGTTTCCTTCTCTGAGAGTGAAGAGCCTTATCTGTAAACAGGTGGCAGTCACTGTGTGCTGTTGCCTCAGTCGCCTTTCAGTCTTCTTTAATAAAGGAAAATAGGGATAAAAGCACAGCAGAACTAAGGAGTGGTTATATACAGTATAATAAAGACAGAAGGAGACTTTGAGGTGTGTTAGTCCTCTGTGAGTTTATGAAAATGTTGTGATTAACGTGCCTGAATGGGGAAGTTCGCTTAGGACAAAGGAGTGAGCAGCGTTCTCCACATTGCCAGTTTTAATGGGAAAAAGCACATGTTCTCAAATTTGCGCACTAAATTTCAAGGTAAAAATATAAATAATAAATCTACATTCATAGCATTCTTTTGGTTTTATTATTATACTCAGGGCTGCAAATAACTACTTTCATTACCTATTCATCTTGATTGAATGTTTGAACATTGCTCAGTTTATAACTAAAGCACAAAAATATTTATTTCCAATAAAAAAAGTCACAAGAGAATCCGCACATTTGTTAGGCAGGGATTATCATTTCGTTTTTGGTTTGTTAAACTTTTTGTTGACTGAGTGACTTAAACAAACTATTGCCTCAAACGTTATCACGGTTTCAAAAGAGCTCAATTTCAAGTTTTTATGTAATTTTAATTTTAATTTTAAAAACTGTGATAATTGCAGTGATCCTGTAATGAAAGCATTGTTTTCATAACTATTTTTTTTTTTTTCCCGCAACTGCCTCTTTGTCAAACTAATGATTTCCTTCCCATTGTCCATGAGTGCAGGGAGGGAGGTGCATGCGGTATAAACAGACTGAAAAGAGGAAAGGCTGAAGTGTTCTCTGAAGTCCGTTTTATAGCTCAGTGCAATGTGTTGTGTTCAGTCAAACACACAATCCCTGAACTTTGCAGCATTATCTCCTAAAGACAGCTGTGCTGAGGACCTCTGACTCCCATGTGCTTATATGGGCTAGCTCACTCCTCCCCCCTGCATTTCTCTGCAAATGGTACAGTCCATTTAAAAAGGCGCTTGTCGTCTCTCAATGCTCTGTGTCCTTTCAACAGTCAGCTGCAGGGAGCACATTTCACTGGGGCAGTGCTGGCTCTCTATAACACACACATACACACACACATACACATGCACTCTCATGCTGTTACGTTACTCTCAGGCACACACACTAACCGGCATGCTTGCACACTAACACACTCACACTACACATACATTATCTCTAGAGCGCAAACTTCTTCCAGCAGTTACACATTTCCCCTGAGCTGGATGCCTCTCTTTAAGGGAATGGACAAACTGCTAATCTAAAGGATTTAACTTGGCTTTCTTATAAAGAAAGGGGAGAAAGAACAGACAGAAAAGGAGAAGGAGGAAGGATTTATTTGGGGACACGTTCCTTCACTGGAAATGTACAACTTGTCAGTATGACACCTTGTCCGGATTCCCCTCTCCTCTTCAGGCAAAAATCCTGAAAATGATGGATGACAACAAGCAGCTGGCTCAGCGCATCGATGGGGCCATTCAGTCCGCCAGCCAGGAGGTGACCAACCTGCGGTCCGAGCTGAGCGCCACCAGCCGCAGACTGGCCGAGCTGGGGGCCACCGACTCGGGCAGCATGCTGGAGACCCTGCAGCACAACCACAACGGTAGGACAGCCCCACGGAGAGTGGAGTGAGACTGTGCTGAGAAGCTGCGAACATGTGGGGAAGGATGAGTGCACTCTGATGCAGCGCTGTATGATCCCGCTGTGTGTGTTCCTGCATGTCATGGAGTTGAAAAAGCCTCTGCTGCTCACGCCTCTTTCTGTGTAAAGTTAGCAAGTGAGTTGAACAAAAGAGGTGAGGGGTTCCTGCTGGCTTGTGTCCACTCTGAGTTCTCCCACAAATCCCCTCTCATGTTGAATAATTAACCTTGTGAACCTTTCAGAGAGGGGGAGTGCTGCACTTTAGTGAGGGCAGAGTGGGTAAAGTTACAACCTCTTTTCACTGTCGGGCACTCACATTCGGTTCTCCCTTAACTGGGCAATGGATCTGTGTCTCTCGAGTAGGAAGGGAAAAGGGGGCTGGTTTTAGGGTTGCCGTGGGTTACTGTTACCGAGAGCTGGTTTGAATGGCTGCCCAGTTTGTAGAATGCTGTCCTCTGTCCTCTGTGTGTGTGTGTGTGTGTGTGTGTGTGTGTGTGTGTGTGTTTTGTGTTGTGTTGCAGCTGCTCTGTTTGTCCTTTTCTAACTTTTTTGTCCTACACTGAGTTTTGACATATACAAAGGTAACAGATGTGAGTTTTTGTGTACATGCATAAGCACTGGTGGCATCATTAGCATGTGTGGGTATGTGTGCCCATGCTGTCATGTCCTTTCAGCTTCTGGCACACACATACTCACACACTCTTGCTGTTTCCATAGCAGTCAGCTGGTACGCTGAGCCGGCTGATAGGATACGTTTCTTCTTGGCCTTGGGAGCACTCTTCTTTGAAACCACATATCTTTGGGATACTTCTGAGTTATTTGGTCCCCAGTTGACCTCTGTAGTGTTTTAAAAGGGGGAAATACACAGCTGGTCAGGAACAGTTTGGTCATGTGTCAGCATTGTTTTCAATGGACTGCCGCTGTTGCTTTGTTTTTCAGCTTTTTCTTTCAGCTTGTGTGTGTGTGTGCCTTGCGGTATCCCTTTAACCCTGATGCACGCTCACACTCCTGCTGTTTCCATAGCAGTGTGTGTGCCAGTGCGAGTGACGACAAGCATTCCTCTGGGAGGGTTTGAGCACTGATGTCATTGTGCTTGTTGCTGCTTCACTGCTTAGCTGAAATGATGCCTGAGTTGTGCATGTTCAGTGGTGGAATCACGTTCATCTGTCGAGAAGATTCATAAAACATATTTATTCATATTCTCAAAATGTTTCTGAAATTATACACATTAAGAACATGGCATCTACGGTTTCTGTACATTCCCCACAGAAATTGATTTTGTCAGACATAATTGTCCAGAAATATGGTGCTAAGTGGTATTGAGTGTCCATTTTCTCAACATCAATGACAAATGCCTACATCCTTTTGATAGTAAAGACTATGGTTTCTGAGTCCTGGCTTGGTTTGGCCTGTATATCTTTCCTCTGTCATTGTCAATAAGCCTTTTTTTTTTCTCTTCACACCCATCTCTCACTGTCTGTGTCAAGACAGCCCTTTCTCTCTTCCAAGCTGTTCTTTACAAGCCCAGGGTGTATAATAGAAACGGCTGGGCATAGGGGGGATTAGGCAATTTATCACCAGTGTCTGTGTTGGGAAGCGAGGTGTGTGCTAAGGGTCGCTGGTTCATTGCACAGCCGACAGTGGGAGTCCTGGGGGAGATTTGCTGGGGGTGCTACCTGGCACATCACTACCAACAGAAGTAACCTTGCTAGCTGGCTAGCTTACCTTAATTGCATTTGCTCTGCCTGGGGATTTTCATCTGCATGTTCTTTTCATCCCAGCAAGTAAAAATGTTAGGATAAATCTTTGTAGCGATGTCCCAATACCAGAGATTAGGCCATACCAATTCCAAAGAGTATTACAAAACAACAACATAACTGTAAATCCAGTGTACTTTAACATAAACTCCTTTATAACAGTTTGCATGCTTAGTAAAACAGGTCATACTTCCCTCTGTATTTCTTATTTTATATTGCTTTGAAAACATCTCCTTCTCAGAAATGTATCTAATGAAGGTTCCCGCCAAAAATGTTAACATTATATTTAACCTTCACTTAATAATGTTTTGAATAAATAGCAATTGAAAGCATTATATCTATCTATCACAAAGGTACCTTGTTTTTGCCATTAATGCTAGCTGTTAGCTCCTTTATTAAGCCAAGCAGGACAGTGCTGCCCACTGACTGCTCAAAGCTAACAGCTAACAACTGAAGTTAACACGCTCTTCCCCTGTTGATTTCAACACAGATTTGTTGTTCACAATCAGAGATGGGGTCGTTACTAAAAAAAAGTAATATATTACATATTACATATTACTTTTAAAAAAAAGCAATATATTACACTACTTCGTTACTCTCTACATAAAGTAACTCGTTACTTTACTCGTTACTTTACTCGCAGGGCCGGCCCGCCCCTCCCTACAGGCAGATCACGCAGACTGCGGCGCACCTACAGTGTGCGCGCCACAGTTTTGCCTCTGCGAGACTCCACTTGCACCCCCAATTACTATTGCATTAAGGAAGACATAACACAAGTCTTTCTTTTTATATGCTCTAAAATAGGCTACCAGCCTACCACAACAAGCTAACAGTCTGTGAAACGTCAAGACACTAATTAATGAAACCAGTTCAAGACGCATTATTCTTATCATTCTTTATGAGGGCAGTAACGGTAAGGTATCTAATTACTTATGTATTTAGTATTCCATAACTTAGTAACAGAGATGGTCAAACTAAAGTGGTAGAGACATGGCAGAATTCCTACAATGAAGCGAGGCATTGAACTGTTCACCCGTGAGAGGGCGATCGACAAAAGAGAGCGAGCGGCCCCGTTGAGGGAGTTTACAGATGAAAAGACTCAGCCATGTTTATGCAGCACTGCACGTGGAGATGTGGTCTCGCAAGTCGCGCAGATTACATAGGCCTACATGTATATAAACCTGCGGCGGAAACCCCTCTAGTCTGTCAGTGAGTGTGATTATTTTATAAAAGTAACGAAGTAACGCGTGTCGGGGCAATGTTAGTAACTGTAGTGTGATTACTAAATTATAAAAGTAACGCGTTACACTACTCCGTTACCGACAAAAGTAATATTATTACAGTAACACCCAACTCTGTTCAGAATTTAGTATTATCGGAGAAAATAGGTTCCAATGACTCCAGAATATTTTGTTTTCATCCCAAACAAATGCTATGTCTTAATATTGACGACTGGGAGGACCTTGGTCTCGAGCCAGAATTTTGAAATAAACATAACCTTTTTAGTAAAGTATCGTTTTTGTACCATCCCTTAATGCAAGTACTTTATATATTATCTTTCTGTGGTGATATAATATATGGAGAGTCTTATGCTTACACGTCTTTTCTCAACAATATAAGAATACCCGGCCTCCACAACGCTCTCTTAAAAATCGTACTCCTTATCTCTCCTCTGAGCTCACGAGAATACTCATGTGGTAGTCCATGAGCTTCCCCCTAGACATTAGTGGACTACATTTAGCTTTGGCGCTGCTTGTTTGTTGAGAAACTGTAAAACTGGCTCTAAACTTCTGCCTTTGGCCCCAATTCATGCCGTTCTCATTTTCTCTTTGAGAATGAGAGAGGATGTGACGTCCTGCTCCTCTCTGGAAATCAGACCATTGAGTGAGAAGTCCATTCTAGTGCTCATTTCATTGTCTTTCATATAACTTTTATGAATCTTTCTGTAAATAGTCGCAGTTGAGAAGAAGGTTTTTTTTTATCAAAACGTAAAAATAAAATACAACAGAAGAGGCAAATGAAACTATATGTCTAATGTCATTGTAACATTAGGGACTTTCAGTCTGCGGCTGAATGGGAATAATCCTTAAGAGTTTTCTTGCTCACCAACCTACAGTACATTGTTGTAAATCACATAAAAGCATGTTTTGTGTTGTGCAGAACGTCCAGCCTGTTAAGAGGCGGACAAAAGTGAGCGGCGAGGACCAGCTCGCCGCTGCACCAATGTCTTGGATGGGAGACATCCTGGACAGAGCCCAGGATGCAGCCAGACCCTGAGTCGAAAGAGCTCGCGGACCCGAGGGTGCCTGCGAACTCTGACTCGTATGGGCCCCAAAGCAATTGCTTCCACAAACCAGTGGGAGAGCCGTTGCTTAGTAACAGGCTTGCCCTTATAAGGGTTAGCCCAGGACACAAGGGGTTGGTCATTATGACGAAGCACCCTTGATCTGTCCCTGTACGTGCGTAAAGCACGGGCTGGACACGGCAAATCCGGCCGCTGTTCCCCGGAGGAATACAGTGGCGGGGAGGATGCCTCAATGTCAAATGTGGTACCTGAACCAACCGCCTTAAGATAAAGGCAGGGTTGGGCTTCAACCACACTCTGTTTGCCCTGGGGCGAACTGAGTGCATGAAGACTGTACAGATAGCGCATGAGTGCCACTGGCTCGCTTGGCAGCTGCCAGGGTCAGCTTCATGTCACACTGTATTCAGATTGTACCACTCACGGGCCAGGCCCATAGAGCCAAGCAGCTGATATATCTCCGCTAGCCAGTACATAGCTGGCCAGTGCGGAGCTATCAGGATAAGTGTGTGGCATTGCTCTCTCACTCTGGCCAGAGTTGGGGGTATCAGAGCCAGGGGTGGGAACGCGTACAGAAGGCCCGGGGGCCAATCGTGCGCGAGTGCATCCACGCCTAACGGTGCATTTAGATCGCGCATCGAAAAGAACAGCTGACACTGAGCGTTGTCTTTCGATGCGAACAGATCCACCGCGGCTCTGCCGTAACGCACCCACAGCTGGCACACAATCCTTGGATGTAGAGTCCAGTCTGCATAAAGTGGTATACCTCTGGACAGTAGATCTGCCCCGAGGTTCATCACTCCCGGTACGTGCGTCGCTCTCAGAGAGAGGAGACGTCTACCGCTCCATAGGATCAGTTTGCACACCAGTGTGTGTAACTGGAGAGAACGCAAACCCCCTTGG